GAATATATCTGATTATCTGCTGTCCCTTTTTCTAGTTATCAGTCATGTGAGGGACATTTTGTTTCCACTGAACACCTTGGCTAAAGGTTGACCTGGAAGTGAGTTTGGAAACAGGAGCTAAGGATAAAGGGCAGAAGTGCATTGCAGAATGAGAACTTGAGGTCCCGGGGCCATGTGAGGGGGCAAAGTGCACAAAGAACAGTGCACAGAGAGCGGTGGGAGGGTTGCAGCACAGACACCAGGGGCGTGGGCTCTGTGGCCTAGTGCAGCCTGTGAGAAGGGCCTGGCTCTCCCTCCCGAAGCTGAACTTTCAGAAATGTGAGAGCATTGATTATTTCAGAGACGTATTTATTATTTTCACAGATTAAAGGAATGAGGAGGCTCCAGTTAATTCAGGTAATACTGAAATAATTATAAAGTGAATCTATTTAACAAAAAATCCAATATCCAAATTACTATAAAATACAAATACCTCACAGGGAAATGCCATCTTCTAACGCATATGACAGGATGTCTGATTTATGCTGCTCTTTTTATTCACTTGTTCTTTATTGTTGTGATGATAAAGAACACAAGCTAAGTCCCCAGAGAAGGAAAGAGCTTTGGTTTTAGTGTTGGCTCCTTATTGCCCCAGTCTGGGCAGCAGGTAAAGCTGTACGCCCGAAGAGGATGAGAATCTGTGGGCCCACTCTACCTAAGGTAGGGAACAGAGCTCCTGGGCTGTGGAATCATCAAAGGAGAAAATGTCCACGAGGAGGAAGAGTTAAGCTAATATAAGAACTACGTCAGTATTTACAGGTACTGGCTCTGCGTACAGCTTAATATCATGTGCTGCAAAGAATGTGCTTTCTATACGTTGACATTATTCACACGTGTGTCCTAACTTGTATGTGGTTGCTGTGCCCTGAGGAACGTACACAGAGAAGATGGCACCAGCTTTTCTAAGCAGATCTGTAAACTCTGAAGATGAATTTGTTGGGCTGGTCTGGGATGGGGATGCTCCCGCCCCAGGTGGTGGAAGCCCTGGATTTACCAGCCTGGAGACCTTGGGCTGCTCTTTAGTGCTTAATCTCTAAAATGGAGAAATATCTAACTTGCCTGAAGACCAGTAGTCTAGATTACGGATCTGTTAAGGTCCCCTGAATTTTAAGATATAATCCTAGAATGTATTGAAATGGAGTCATGCAGAGGATTTTCAAGAAGACAGACGTGGATTCAAATCTCTTCAGCAACATTTACTAAGGGCCGACACCGGGAGTGCTACTAAATATTTCTCACTTTCTGTTCCCTATTTTATAAAGTGGAATGTCTCAAAGGGTCATTATAGGGATAAAATGAGATAATGATTATAAATCACTTCGTTTCTGGTCCATGGAAAGCTCTTAATAAATAGAAAATATAATACCAAACACACCCATACACATAAGGCTTGAAATCAAATAGTTTAAATACTTATAATTTTCTAGACCAAAACCCCCCGAAAGTCCCCCCCACCTAACTAGAAGACTCAACTAGTGAAATTATGTTGAGAAACTGTTTACTTAACAAATGTAATGATTTGTTTCCCTTTATGCAGATAATGATGCCTTTCCATAGATTTATTCACTTTCTACTTGAAACTTCAAAATATGATTCCAAATATGTAGTAAGAAGACAAAATTGTCAGCAACTTTCAAAACCACAGGGTGGAATCCTGGACTTCTGCAGACTGCATGGTGCTAAGTTTATTCTTCCGTCTTTGGGAAGTGGGTAAATATGCCGTGTTCTGTTCCATGTACTGCTCAAGCTAATGGTCTGTTCTGGGATTGTCTCTTTCTTTCCTCTTCATAAATGGAGAAGAGAATTTCTAGAAGTTACAGCAGTGCCAAGACCCAAGGCAAGACCAGACTGGGGTGAGCATCCTAGGAGGTGAACACGAGGGCCTTGCCCACTGCTTCAGTCCTTGGTAAAACACTAATGTAGGTCAAGTTTATGTTTGGGCCCCTTCTGTTGCCTATTTCTTCACTTGCTCCCTGCTCATCTAAAATATTAAGTAAAAACAACTTTTTGGCTTAATGGTATGGTTTAAGTAATAAGCAAAGCATTTGCTGATAAGGACTTAGGATACAATTCATTCTGGGGATTTATTTTTAATTTTTAACTTTGAAATAATTATAGACTCACAAAAGTTGAAAAATATGGTATGGAGAGGTAACAGGGATCCTTTGTCCAGCCTTCATTAGTGGTAAAATCTTGTATAATTACAGCACATTATTAAAACTAAGAGATTAACATCAGCACAGTACAATTTATTAGATATTTCTGAAGAATGAAAAATTCCTAAGGCTGAGAAATTTTTCCTGAGTCTCACCTAACATCACTTCTATCTGTGTATAGCTTATTTTTACACCTTTCTCAATTAATTGAATTGAATTCTATATTAAGTTGCTGACTTCTTCATCCCTTCAGTACAGGGATCATGTTATATTCACCTATTGCTTGTCAAAGTACCCTGCATTCAATAAGTACTTGTGGCTAAAAGGATGTCTAACACTTGCTTACATCTCCAAAGCCCACTTATAAGAAGATGTTACTAAATAAAAAAGATGTCACTGCTACTGAGAGTGGCCATGGTTGAGGGGAAAGAACACAGACTTTGCAAGCATTCAGATCTTGGCATTTGTTAGCTTGTGTCTTGTGACAAGGCACTGGACGTCCTTCCTTGTGTGCTCAATTGTATTTGCGTAATAGAGTGGTTGCAAAGATTCAAGGAGGAAATTTTTGTAATGAAGAACCAAACACAAAGGCTGTGAGAGGTGACAGGGTAAAGGATTTGATTGCCATTTTACAAACTAAGGCTTAGAGGAAGGAATTAGTCATTTGTTGAAAATCGTAGAACTGGTTCAAGGAGTGCAGCTAGAGCCCTTGAGGTCAGGTGTCTTCCTTAGCATCATACTCTATGTCCCGGGTAACAGGAGGGTAAATTAAAAAAAAAAAAAAAAGCAAGCAAGTAAACAAACAACCACCATGGGGCAATTATAGAATCCTAAGAATTTGTTTTTAAGAGTGGTTGCTAATTCTCTTTGCTAGGTGTACAGAAAATTTTCACTTAAGTGGGGTTGGGTGAGAGGCTAAGCCAGGGTTTCAGGTATTATTTCAGGGGGTCTCTGCCAAGTGCCATCCCTCTCCAATATCCGTTTAACACCAAGTAGGTGGGAATCTTGCTTGCTAAACTGCACCAAATGTTTGTGCCTTTTTCTTCTGGGGAAGGCATAGAAGGATGAGAACTCGGACCTCTCAACTAGTCACATGGCTCAATTTGTTTTTAATTTTTTAAAAAAAATTGTTTTAAAATTGTTTCTAATCAAAAAGAATTTAAATTAAAAAGACAGAAACTTTTGACATCATCATCATTATCATCATTTTCTATTTTCTGCTCACGAAAATAATTTCTTTTTATTTTGGCTGGGCCTGGGTTTGAACCTGCCACCTCCGGCATATGGGGCCGGCGCCTTACCCTTTTGAGCCAGAGGCACTGCCATGAAAATAATTTCTTATTAACAAAAGAGTACAGGTAACCATGAAACTTTTTTTTTAATAATCTGAAATGATTGGTTACATGTTGGCCAAAGTTGCTTCTCAACCTGCCCAAAACGCCCTTTATAGTCCCTTGAAATTCATGTAGAATGACTATTTCTATGTAGGTATTCTTTTGGCTTATACAACCTATTCATTTCATTTAAATAGAATAGCAAATGGTAAAATATGTTACTGGTTTATGAGACTGTTGGCTACAAATGTCAAAAGCTCTGGTAGCCGAAACACTGAACTACAATTAGAAACATTAATTTTCTGATAGTGGTTTACAATATGACTTTCCCCCCCACCAGTTAAAACAATGAGAATGTGAGGCGTCTAGATTAGAGATGGAGAAAGGTGGGACTAAACTATTTCTCCTGGATTCTGAGTAGTGTCTGTGGCTGGGTGTTGTCTCCAATCTTTGATCACTTAGGTGAGGTGCACTAAGGTCAAGAGGAGAGAGGAGAAAAAGGAAAAAAAAAACAACCATGCTGGTACACTACGTATCCTCAGAGAGTTAGGGTTCAAAGTCACCCTGAGATGTTCCCCAATAGAGTATCTTGGAGTAAATAAAACTTTTGCAACTGCGTAAAGGATAGAGGAAGATAAATATGCTTGTGAGTTCTAAATTTGTTAAAGCTCACATTCTCAGAGCATAAGGTTTCAAAGCTACCCCAAATGTCTTTTCTTGGCTTGGCTTTGACTTACTGTTTAATTACCTAAGGAACAAAAATATTTTTTATTCCTATCTACATAATATAATTCCAATGGGGCTTAATGCACAGTGTGATTCTTTCCCCATGAATTTAAAAGAGATTTTCTGAAAAATAAACCATGGCACACAGAGAGAAAGCAGGCTTTGCCATTACAATAAAAGCACAATGTCCATCTGGAACGTCCTGGGTGTCTGTGGTTTTCATTGCTTTCTGTTTTCTGTCGTTTTTCTTTCAAGGAATCATGAGTACCATTGCTAAGTAAAAAGAGTTACACGAATGCATCTTTCTGCACGGAAGCACATTTAAGATATCAAAATCACAAAGGATAAGGACAACAAAGTGTTACAACTACACAGAAACTAGAATAAACGTAAAGACTTTACCTGAATATTTCAATGGATGAATTCCTTGAATACACTTTCTCTAAGGACTGCTACTGTTTAAATATTATAACATTACTTATAATATCAGTTGTGCAAATCAGCCATTATAAAGCATAGATTTATATGGCATGTTAGTTTTACTTAACTATTGACTATGATAAGATATTATAGTATTTAACACAAAACCCAGAAATGCACTAAGAAGAATAATTCTGAAGTGAGATTACAATTTTGTCAGTAAATGCCTTTTCATCTTAGCATAAATAGAAATAATACATATTTGTTCTTCTGATTATTTCACGAAGTACTAAGGTATGCAAAGTTAGATATTGAGCAGACTTACGGTATCTCCCAATAATTAAGATGTAGAAGAAGACAGGAGCAGATGTCATTTCCTTCTCTTGAAGCAACTGATTAATGAAAGTGAAAATTTGGTGGTGGTGGTTTCTGAGTCGCATACAGCTCACGGTGGTTGTGTGCTATTTCTGTCTGCAATCTTAGCAGCTACAAAGCAGTCCTGCCTCCCTCTCTCTCTCTCTTTCCAGCCCCTCTTTTTTTCTTTCTTCCTTTATCTCTTTCCCAGGATCTCTCCTCCCCACCCTCCTTCTCTGAAAGTCTTGATATCCTCTCTCTCTCTCTCACACACAGAGCTGAGCAGCAAGGGAAAGTTTCAGATAGAGAACACACAGGCTCTTCTTGCTGTCTCTCATTTCTACATCCTACAAGTCTAAAATGAGGGTGTGCACAAGCACTGGTGAGTCTCTAAGCTGGTCAGAGTTAAGCTACTAGGAAGGAGCTGAGCTAAATGCACAGCGCAAACAAAATGTACATATTTTTCCTATGACGGGAATTAGGAAATGAGCAGAACTTTGTAGGACAAGATGCCTTTGTGAAATTAACTCTAAAGCAGGAATTAAAGTGTAACTGCGGCAATCTTTTGTAATCTGCGTTTGGAATTTGAACAATAGCATATCGTTCAAAGAAAAGTTCAAAGAAAAACACAAAGGAATACAAAATTCTTTTGAATTCATTAACTCTTTGGCTACAGGGGAGACTGTGAATTTGAATCATGGGCCCTCTGCAACTTTAGAGTTGTGCGAGTGCTAACCCTTGGCTGAGTCTCAGTTTTTCAGAGGAGAATATCTGCGTAGCAAGGTAGCTGTGTTGGTCAGCACAAGGGACACGGAATGTCTGGAGTAGGTCCCAGTGCCTCAGACGTGATTACTCAATGGCAATCATTTATTTGATGACTATTTTTGTTATTCAACTAATAGGGGAATAGAAGTCTGAATGTGTAAAGAACATTTGTATAAAATTCATTCTTTTTTAATAAGGCTATATCATTCTTAATTTGGGACTTGGTACTTTATTTCTAGACAAATGGATAGCCCATTGAAGTCAGGAATGTGTGAGGTTAATGACCCCTATTTGTAGAGATTCTGCAGATAAAATCTGTTTAGATTACATATGTATATACATCTTCAATAGAAGAAGCCTACTTCTAAACAGAGGCAAAAGATCATATGTGTATTAATACTGCTCCCCCCATACGAGTGCTATGAAGGTAGACTAGGCACCTGCATAGGTGTATAACTTCCCAAAGGGAGTACTTTGAAGGTGACTATAGTGATATTCAGCAGTATGTAGCATTTTTTTCTAGGATGAGTTCAAAAACTTCGTTGTTGTATACTTAGTTAAATAAAGGGGAAACTCAGTATAGGAGTCTCTTTTTTTGTCATCAAAAATTAGCTTTCTTTATTTTTAATGCCATGCTCATATGACGTAGGATGAACTCTTTAGTTGCATTTCTTTCACTCAATGTGCAGTAGAACCTTCCTACACTGACCACGTCCTTAAGTTGACCCAATTTTCATAGACCAAACATGCACATGTACATATCAGGACAGTGGTCCTAGTTCCTTATGGTGACCTCCTCTGTATGTTGACCAGCAGTTGTTACAGTTCCTTGGGTGGTCAACTGACAGAGCTTCTACTGTATTTAAATTAGTTTCATCTTTGTATCTATTTTTTCCTTTTTTAAAATCATAATGCTTATACATTTGCCAATGGATTATTATTTTTGGGGGGAGAAATGTTTATAGTTCCACGAAATGTTCAATATTTTTAATAATACTTTAAATTGGAACAATGCTTGGAACATGTCAAAGGCAATTGGATTTCTTGGAACAATGCGTTGGACAAGTCAAGGCAGTTTTGGAAGGGGGCTCATAAGAAGCTTCTCTACAGTAGTGCTGAAGAACTGGCTCTGGGAGTTGTCTCAGTGGAAGGTGAGCTGTTGACACAGAGGTTTTCAAAGTCTTGCAGGGGTTATTTGATTAACTTTGAAAATGTTGCCTGAGCATATACGTCCTGTCACAGACACAGATAATTCCTGGGTCAGTAGCCAGGAAGCACTCCTTACAATGTATTTTCAATTGCTCCATTTATCAGTGCAAAATTTCAAAATCACTTTTCATTTTGTTAAGGCTATGTTAAGTTTT